CGACATGGGGACAAAGTGCTTGGCCAAGGGTCCCCCTTCCTATGTCGAAGGTATGTGACCTGGTAGGCCGGCAGGAGGGTAAATTAATGGGGTGGAGAATAGAATGTGTTTGGAAAGGGAACATAATTTAAAATGAGATGGGTGAAGATTATAATATTGAGGAAACCATAAAGCTATGGGGATGCACCCTACCTGCCTTTTTAAATAATTTTCTCTGCCTTGTCTTATATGAGTATTGTTATGAGAGACAAACACAATAGCATAATGTAAATTGAAATGTAAATATGATATGGATGTTTATAAAAAGAAAAGAAAGAGATATTAAACAAAAAATGTACATAATTCTTACTGTTCAGTTCATGACCAACCAGGAAAAATTCACAGGCAATGCTAAGCATGATTTACAAGTAACATTGTTACAACATATTTACCAATTTCATCAATTCTAACTATGGAAAATCGTAGAGTTTGGCTTCTGAGAGCCGAGCTGGTATGCCCTTTCTACTTTGCATCTGTGGCCCAAGCCAAGCAGGGATGGAAAAGTTTTATAGCAAAGCATAGGCAAATTAGTAGGCATGTAGGATTCAGGTATTCCGATGATTTAGGCTGGGTTCACACCTAGGCGTATCGAATATGCGCGTTTGTCGCGCGTTTTTACCGCGATTCACGGTTTAAAAACACAGACAAACGTGCGTTTCCAAGGGCTACCTGGCTGTAACCCAATGGATACGCGCGGCAAATACACCCCAAAGAAGCTCCTGTACTTCTTCGGGCGTAGGGCGTTTTGCACCGCGTTCCTACGTGCTGTAAAACGCCCAGGTGGGAACCATGCCCATAGGCAATCATTGTTTTTCACATATTGAGCATTTTACAGCGCATAGGAATGCGCTGTAAAACACCCAGGTGTGAACCAGGCCTTAGAGATTGATCTTTCTCGACCTATTCTCCGAGTCATCCAGTTTGTCCAAAAGGTTTTTGTATGCTGAGATCAGTTTTGTGGAGGCTGAGCTCACTAAATGTGCAGCCACTGCATTGGGCACTGGAACCGAAAGTATAGTTAATCAATTTTAAGCAGGTACTGGGTTTAAATGAACAATAAACATTGGCAGATCGGGAGCTGTCCAGTGCTGATGCAGCCTAATAATATTTCTCTATAATAAATTAATGGGTTATCCTACTAAAGTTTAGGAATCTCTTAGAATCCTTTTTTGTTCAAGGAGCTGAGCCAAAAATTGTCAGACAAACAATGACTGCAGCCAATGGGGTTCGTGTACTATGACAGGTGCTGTCTGTCTGAATATAATAGCCCAGTAGAGGAAGGGGAATCGAGTGTTTGTTCTCATTCAGTCCAAGGGGAGAAAAAAAACAATCAAAAGTGTATCAACAGTTTTGGACACAGAATTACAACCATAACCAAAGAAATCACTCTTTAGATATGTCATAATGTGGGTTTTTATGTCATTTTAGAGTTAGTTACAAAAAATTGCAGTAACTTAAATTAGCCAATAAAATTTCTCCAGACATCTTTTTTTACAGTGGTCTTACCAAAGGACGATGACTGATAATTGGCTGATTTTTGGTATATTGTTCATGTAGACCTGTATTGCTTGTTTTCTAGAATAAATCATGACAATCAGAATGTTGTAAAACTGTTTATTTACATTGCATGTATAATTTATTAGATTGCATAGGTCTTTTGAAAACGCTGATGGTCAACACAGCTTTTCACCAAAATATTAATGACACTGTAAATTGACAACTGTGCTTATTACATGTCCAACAATTTGAGTTTGGAGGAACTACATATTCATTCCTGGTTATTTGTAATCACTCCCTAAAAGAGATAGATTTTACTTATGACAATATAAATAGATATATGAAATAAGCATGTGGTGATACATGTACATTCTGCATAGATTATGTATATTTACAGTACATTACATGATTTACTAAAGGCAAACAGGCTGCTAGGTTTGTGAAGAAATTTTCCTTTAGCTTAGTGAATGTGGGAAAATTCACTTTGCAAAGAGAACCCAATCATGTACAAGGAAAAAAAAAAAAAAAAAAACATCGTTTGTGCTTGCATGTCATTGGATGATGGAAGTCAGCAGAGTTTCACCTCATTCACTAAGCTAAAGGAAAATGCCCTTGCAAAGTGAACAGGCTATTTGTCTTTAGTGTATCATCCCCTAAGTATCATTGTACTACCTTGCTGTTAAAACATCAATGAATTCTAAAATACTAGCTCTGGATATAGACTAAAACTGATAATGTCAGTACTGATAATGGCAATTACTAGACAGTAGTGCTTTTTCCCTTATCAGCACTCCTATGGTTACACTAATACAAAAGTACATTCAAAATTAACATTTAATGCCAACAGGTTGATTCACACAGTGGCTTCTTACATGTCTCTGGAACTCCAACAGTGAAATATTTCTACTGGTGATTCTATCCGGAGCCCCTAAAAGATGCTTGTTTGGGAGACCAAAGCATAGATAACATGTAGAAGCTCCTGCCTATTATGAACGGAATGGGTTTTTATTGTTAATTACTGCTATCTTCTTTTTTGACATCAGTTATGAGAATCAGAGAATCTGAAAATGCATTTACAGAAACATTAGCGGGACTTATATTTATTCATGGTGGTTCATTTCAGGACCCACCTTTCTGACTAGATATGGTAAGGCAGGACAGTTAAAAATAAAAACTCATTCATGTGTATTATCTGTTTTGCCTTCTATGAATTCTATTTTCCAGAAATGTCAAATGTTCTTTTCTGGGTGAACATAGACACATGGAACCATGGGTGCATTTTGGAAATATCCATAACTCACTGCAGTCAACTTAAGAGTCCCAGCATGAGCAACATGCAAATCATTTACAAAGACAACTATTTTAAAGTAACTCATGCTTTATGGAGTAAAGTTGTCCTGTCTATCGGCCAGTTCAACCCCCAACAGAAGCTTTTTCAGAACCACCAGCTTCACAAAAGTCAGTTCCTTTGTAGCTAACTACAGTATAGCAAGATTATCTACTGCTGTAAACCACTTTTAAGAACCATAACCACTAACTCTTCTGGAATCTCCACTTCACGTTAATCTGACCTAAATGTTTACAAGGTAACAACAATGCTTAAGTGCTGGCATGTTGTGCTGCTTGCAGATCTAATTCCAAGTCTTTAATTTGATCTATGTGTGGAGCCCCAGGAACCAAGATTATTGTGGCCCCACAGAAACATTTGCCCTAATATGAACGCATATATAGCATATCTGCACTTGGCACGCTTACCTTGCAGAGTGGCCTCCTTTAGAGATGTGACACCTGCACTCCCCTTGGCACTCGGTCATCATCTCTTCCATCTTCTTCCAGTCTTTTGGGTTGGGAGTCATCCACTGTCTTAATTGGCTGGAGTGATGTAACCCCGGCACATGCGCACAGGAGTTACTTCATCTCAGCATCTGGTTCTTATTCACACTTACAAATGCCCGGACTGTACACGGAGCAGCACATACACAGCTGTCAGTATGCAACTAGTCAGAAAGGGTCAACAGACAGGAAAATACATTTTGCAGTAGAAGAGACATTCAGAGTCTCTTTTACCATAAATTTCTATGCGTTAAGAATTATAAAAAAAATTCAACTATAGTTCCACTTTAACCCTTCCGTTGCTGCTAATGTCATTCTTACATCAGGTATAAAAGCCTGGAGTCTGTTAGCATTTCCTCTGAAGGCTGCCAGCTATATAGTAGAAGTGTTTCGAGCAGCTGTAAATTGTGTGTAAATTGTGGCTGTAGCCCCCTTGTGATAGAAAAAAAAAGTAAAAAGTTACAAAAGCAAAGTTAAACAAATTAACCCCCCACCAACAAAAAATTGGAAAAGCCTCCACTCCCACGTACACACGTACGGAAATGCGCATCAGGTGTACACACGTATGAAAATTACTGTTGCCCCACACGTAATAGGAGTGGAGGAGTGAGAGCTATTATTATTCTAGGAATATCATTCACCCTTAATGCTAAACTGCAAAGGCTTTTAAAGCATTAACTATGGATACCATAGTTTTTCATAGTTTTTGTAAGGTGTATTTAAACCCAAAAACAAAAATGTAGTTTATTGCAGCTTACCAGTCCAGAGATGTGGTGGATTCATCTATTTTCTAATTCAAGAATTTCTCCTTTATTTTCACCTGGTGATCGTTCAACTAACACTCTTCCTGTTCTAGGTTGACAATGTTCAATCACTTACTGTATCTATGGAGGACCAGTGTTGTCATTCTAGTCTCTACTGATTTGAACTCCAAACACCTTTTCCTCCTCTTTATTACATAGGTAGTTCACAGACGATATCTGGTAAAGCTGATAACATTGTTTGAGATTTTAGTATAGTAAGCAGGAAGTTATAGGTTCTATTGGGATAAACAGGTATAGTTCTCTACTTTCAGAAAATGTACTTAGTCTGGAAAAACGTATCCACATCCAAGTACGGGAAAGCTACAATATATTACATTCCTTGGGTGTAGATACACTTAAACTTCTGAATTTGAGAATAACTCAACCTCTCTTTGCAGTAAGACCCTACCAGCATTCAAGTGTCAAATGCCAATACCTCAGTGGTGATTTGATAGTTGAATGACAAAAAGCAGGGCTTAGTGTCAGGAGGTGGTAGGGTTTAATCTTGACTTTGACAGATGCCAAGGTTTTACATACAGCCCAAACTAGGATTTAAAAGAGCCTAGACTTCTGCAGTGTTGTTACCGTGCTGAAACATTTTAGGCCAGGTCAAGTTGACTTTACTGTTGAATTATTACTGTTCTTTGGATATGCTGTAGGAGTTTGCAGAGTATCATTCACAATTATTCACAAATGTTACAAGATGAACTCAGTGAATAGCAAAATAGATGAACGTGTAAGTTATAACTAGTCCATATTTAACTAACAAATAATCAAAGAGATGAATTCCTTCCGAATAAGTACAAAACATATTTGTTACTAAAGAATTCAAATTAATGTGCAAGTTGAAGATTTATCCGCATTTGCCCCTCCTCCATCAGCAGCAGCTGTAAATAGAAAAAAAATTGATTTTATAGATTAGAAAATACAATAGAAGAGTGACTTGAGTATTCTCCAAAAGCTCAGTCTCGGTCATATGGTATCTATCGACAACATGCTAAGCTTACTGGCAGGAAATGCAATTCATGATTTATTGTTTGTATACTGTGTGTCTTACAAACCCTGACTCTCTTTCCTTTCATGTCAATTGTTTTTGTTTTAAGATAGGATTTGGTATATCATCACTAGGGCATTACATAAATGGGTAAAAACTTTAGGCAACAAGCAAAGGAAGGATACGTTAATATCATGACTATAGTATTACCCATGTTTCCCCGAAAATAAGACACTGTCTTATATTTTTTTGGGCTCATAAAAACACACCGGGTCTTATTTTCGGGGTAGGTCTTATTTTTTTATTTTTTAAAATGTACAACAATCCACACTTATTCATGTACAAAAATATGGTGATCAAGGCAATCAGGGGTACCGTACCTTTCCAAGAGCAATTTGCTAACCAATCGCTGGCCAGAATGAGCGAAGCTCACTTTCACTATCGATTCCTCACAGGCGGAGTGCATTTGATATCACTCCGCCTGTGATGGGAGCCGGCGCTATAGAGGATGCATCGGCTTATGCGGCTCTGCTCCCTCCGCTGCCGCCTCGCTTCCTCTAGCGCTGGCTTCGTTAGCACCGCTGATTAAGTTCCCCCTTATGCCACCACTGGCCCTGGAAATGGTCACAACTAGGTCTTATTTTCGGGGTAGGTCTTATATTTTAGAAATTCACAAAAATAGTACTAGGTCTTATATTTGGGGTAGGTCTTATTTTCGGGGAAACCGGGTAACTATACTATGTTGTTTTTTAAAACTTTTTAAAATTCTCATTTGACAAAGTAAAGTTTATTATGTAAAGCTTCCTTTTAGCTTTTTTTTAATCAATATAAATGTTAACCTTACATTTTCATTGTCATCAAGCTATTGCTTTTATCCTGCCAGCCCCACATATATGTTGTATTTCTGATGGGGCACTTGAGGGGGGTGGCAGGCACAGCAGCATGGCCACTCTGCAGCACAATGTTTGCAGTGTGCCTGTTTCACCCTTCCATCCAGAGCGTCTCAGGTTGCTAAGAGCTGGGTAGGGAGATATAGAGCCCTTACACATCTTCAGCTCCTAGTGGCATCATTCTCCATCAGCACCCCTCAACTGATTAAGCACCATCCGCACCATCCAGCACCCCCCACCCCACCCAACCCCGCCGCCTCAAAAAGGCTATGAACACCCCTAACACTGCTGTATATAATCATTTTATATGCATTTAAGTACAAACCACAGTTACACAAATACCCTTGTTACAATTTTGTTTGAACCACTGTAACTGGGAAACACCATTTCAAAAATCTTTAGGTGTATTACATCGCCATGCCACACATTACTGAGGAATATGCCATGTCACCTGGGCAATTAAGGACAGCTGATTGAAAATAAATTGACTGAATAACTAAAGTGACTTTAGCAAAAGAGGATTTAAGAAGATTATGGATTAAGGGCGATTTAATTAAATATGTTGTGCAGGTCTGGGAAACAAGTTCAGCAAATAAGAGACCATATTCATGCTATCTGGCTTTTATTGATAATCTATTAATTTTATTTCATCATAAAGTATTACTTTACCAAATGAAGGGATTGCTTTATCGAATATTTAATTCATTAGCAGGCTCAGGACACTGACTCAGATTCATAAAATAATTCAATTTGATACTTGAACAACCATTCTACTGAAGCATTTAGAAATTCAAAGATTGTTTTTAATGTCAGTGATACTGCACATAGAAAGTCATACCGTAATATGCTAAATAATGCACATTGACACACAAGTAAAGCATCCTTATGTGACTCTTGCAACCTACTGATGCTTCAAATAGCTGAGATTCATTACTTTATATTCATATATACAATATTTATACACTCAGCATACTATCCCCGCTCTGCAAGGGTTAACTGCTCATATTGGTCTACGGCAAAAATAAAGAAGAAATACTCACCTGATCCTCAGTCTTGCCACAGTGCCTGCTCACCTCTCTCCCCCTCCGATTAGACTGGGGTATGCACATCTAATAGCCTGTATTAGACATGATGACATCACAGGTTCTTAGACCGCCAGAGCCTGGGGGTGAAATGGCTGCGGAGACCGGTCCAGCAGCCAGGCGGGACCTAGGATTGAGTGAGTATTTCTTCTTTATTTTCTCTCCCTAGACAAAACAATCAGTTAACCCTTGCAGTGTTGCCCTAGCCCCACTGCAAGGGTTCTCTTTTTTTAAATCCTGGAGTTCTATTTTAAGGTTCACAATGCAAAACAGTGTACTTTATGGGTGTCACTTTTCCAGACTTATACGCCTCTTATTAAATTTTGCTTCAGATTATACTTGGAAGCAGTTTTTTTGTCTTTTGTACTTTTAATGCACGCACAGCTCCGTGCTGCGTGCACGGCCGTATCTGGCAGCTCCCGAGTACGTGGCCGTATGCCGCCCTACGCTCACCCACCCTGCACGTCTGTGCGGGTACTCGTACGCTGACAGGATGGATCCTGTCTGCTTCCAAGACGGGACACCTGTACCTATACGGACCTGCACTTGGGGTGAGCGTAGGGCGGCGTTTGGTCATGTACTCCCATAGAGAAGGACAGGGGCTGTGTACTAATCACATGCAGCACCTGTCCTTCCTGGGAGCTGCCCAATACGGCCGTGCACGTTTACCCAAATAGAGCTTTCTTTTGGTGCTATTTGATCGCTGCTGGTTTTTATTAAAAAAATGTTATATAAATGAAAAGAGACAAAAAATTGTGGAAATAGTGGAAATAAATATTTTCAACTTTTTGTTATACAAAATATCAAATAAAATTACATTTCTTCCTAAAATTAGGCCAAAATGTATTCTGCTAAATATTTTTGGTTTAAAAAAAATCCCAATAAGTGTATACTAAGTGGTTTGTGTGAATTGGTAGGTACCAATTATAAGTCTTTTGAAAACATGGTTTTTATCCATATGGTGTCGAACAACAAAATCGGTATTGCTCAGGGTAAAGGATTGGTTTAGGAATGATATGGCCGGTATATTTTTTTCAAACCTTGGTGTGTCTGCTACATAAAATCTTATAATTTGAGGAAGCTGAACCCCCCCCAGGAAAAAAAAATATCTACGGCCCTGCTACTTTACATAGTGGATTTTTTTTAAACAGTTTTCGGTCATTATTATTTTTTATTACTGACCATAATAAATGAGGAAAACATGTACAAAATCACTACACATTGCCTACAAGAGCAAGCTGCCTGTAAGTAGTTGTAGCAGTCTGTCTAAAGAAAATCATGGCCCTTCACACTAGCCTGTTTGCTAAACGCAGTGTATTAGTGGACAGGCTAATGCATTGTGGCAGCTCTGCTGCAGCTGTCACTTTTTAAATTTTTTTAACATTATGTGCACTGTGCTGCCATGGAGCAACTTGCGGTGGCATCAAGTGCACTGCAAAAAATGCAGCATGTTTGTATCACAGAACAGTGCATCACCCATCCCACCCATATTGTGGTGTAAATTGTGAGAACAATTGTTTTCTATTTGTCCTTGCGGTAACCTGCATTGATCCAGTGTGGTTATACGCAGGTCAGGGCCGCCATCAGGGGGATTCAGCTGATACACATGTGAGGGGCCTGGGCAGCTTGGGGGGCCTGGGCCCCTTACATGGGTATTGGCCATATCAGGGGCTGCATAGCAGAAGTGACAGGGAGGAGGTGGAGGAGGCGTTGGTACTTTAGCGAAGAAGGCCAGGCCCCAGCAGCGCCGGTCCAGTGGCGGAGGAGGTCCGGCCCCAGCATCGACAGGAAAGAGGAGCTGGGAGGAGGTGCATGGAAAGGGAACCCGACCAGCCCACCTGAGAACTTGCAGAGCCCACGATAGAGAGTCTCAGATGGGCTGTGCAAGATCTATGGTGTGCTCTGCAGGGTCACTCTAACGTGGGCTGTGTGGGGTCTCAGGAATGTGTGGGGTCTTAGGTGGGCTCTGCAGGGTCCCAGGTGTGTCCTGAGGGTCCTCAGGTGGGTCCTGAGTCCAGGGCATTACTAAGCCCTGCGTCCAGTGCGTTAGTAAGCCCTGAGTCCAGTGTGTTTCTAAGTCCAGAATCCAGTGCGGTACTAAGTCCTGAGCCCAGTGCATTACTAAGTCCTGAGCCCCATGCGTTACTGAGTCCTGAGCCCCGTGTGTTACTAAGTCTTGAGCTCAGTGCGTTACTAGGTCCTGAGTCCATCATGTTACTAAGGCCAGAGTCCAGTGCATTACTAAGTCCAGTGTGTTACTAAGTCCAGAGTCCAGTGCGTTAATACGTCCCGTGTGCAGTGCGTTAATAAATCCTAAGACCAGTGCGTTACTAGGTCCTGAGTCCATTGCGTTACTAAGTCCAGAGTCCAGTACATTACTAAGTCCAGAGTTCAGTGCGTTACTAAGTCTAGAGTCCAGTGCGTTAATAAGTTCAGTGTCCAGTGTGTTACTAAGTCCAGAGCGTTAATAAGTCCAGTGTCAAGTGCGTTACTAAATCCTAAGTCCAGTGCGTTACTAGGTCCTGAGTCCATTGCGTTATTAAGTCCGGAGCCCATTGGGTTACTAAGTCCTGAGTCCAGTGCGTTACTAAGTCCTGAGTGCAGTGCGTTACTAAGTGCAGAGTCCAGTGTGTTACAGAGCCTGCAGTCAACCTGAGAGCCCGCACACAGCCCGCACAAAGCCTGCAGTCCCCCTGAGAGCTTCTACAGTGCCCGCAGCCCACCTGAGAGCCCGCACAGACAACCTAGGAGTCTGCATAGCCCCCCTGAGAGCCTGTCCAGCCCAGTTTTTTTTCTTAGATGGGCTAGTGGATAGATTAGGGGCAGTTAGTGTTAGTGAACAGGGAGTGCGATTAATGTTAGTGAAAAGGGAGTGCAGTTAGTGTTAGCAAAAGGGACTGCAGTTAGTGTTAGCAAAAGGGAGTGCAGTTAGTGTAGGGTCCTGCTCAACATATTTCTTGGACAAAATATATATTGAATGCACTGATGACTTACACTTTTCACTCACAATAGCTTCCAGGAACACCGTCAGTAGGACCCGCCCTTGACACGTTTCATCATCAAAGGCAGATCTGCGTAATTTTAAGAACGTCCTTTGATGACGAAAAGCGTCAAAGGCGGGTCCTACTGACGGTGTTCCTGAAAGCTATTGTGAGTCTGTGAAGGAGACTGTTTTGTTACCGGCCGGATAAAGGAGATTTCAACATGTGAGTGTGCTATATTCTTTTTTAAATAAATCATTTTATACTGCACAATGAGCGATTCCTTCTATTTTTGGTTGCTGCTGGAATGCTGCCATCTATACATTGAGAATCTGGGTTTCATTATCGATGCTGAGAAGATCGCAGGCGATTGTTCCACACCAACAGGAAGCTCTGTTTGAATGCTGATTTAGTCAAACATTTCTGTTAAGTGTTTGACTATGGGGGTTGGCGCTTGAGGATCACCAACATCTTGCACGGAGTGAATTTTTGTCTTATTTGCACCTTATAGATCTCACGCTTTGGGACTTTTAGATCTATATCTGTTCACCATATACATTCATAAATATTTATCCCTCTTTTGGGGGTCTTATCACTTTATTTAATTCATGTTATTTATTTATATTGCATCTGAGGCCATTGTTTTGTATTTATTAACATATGTCACTATATATGGCTGTTATCTTATTAGATTTCATCACAGTATTTATGCTATTTTATTGAGATCATTTGAGTGGCGTTTTGCACTTATTATTTCGTCAAACAGCAAAAAGTTTTCCTGGCACACTCACAAGCTAGCATGTAAAAAAACTTGTCGCACACTAAGGTTAAAAACAGAGGTTTGGATACACGTCAGAAAATGTGAAAGCCGCACAGTCGCGCCAAGGCACCTCTTATAGTGCGGTCCTAACTCTAAACCAGATCAGAGTCTCCATCTTGGAGCACATTATTATTTGTCACCATTTTTTGGTATTTAGCGCTGTGTGTTGTGCATTCAATCCATTAATTTATTCATAGCAGCTCTATATCATTTTGGGAAATTGCTATATCCTTAGCGCATATTTTCCATTTACTATTCATATTCTAATCTATACTTTAAAAAAAAAGTTGGTCTACTTAGTGAGTTAACAGACAATCAGGTAACACTAATCAGAATTCACCTACTAATGGCATCTACATTTGGGTAATAGGGATGCACTTGTTCAACAAATCCTGCCTGCTTCTAAATCTCTTTATCTTAAACGTATTGTAAAAATAATGATGATGTCAGGGAATGCTGGCTTCCGTCTGTTAACTGTTTTAATATATTAGAATAATCCCCACTACAAAACAGTGTCACCAGCAATCTGGCACTTATAATATAGTTAATGAAATGTCACTTGTGAAAAAAACCAAAAAAACAGTGCAATGTGCTTGGATTGGCCCATCAGCACTGTGCCGGGCACCATGATGTAGCACAGCGGCTAGCGTGAATGCGCACTAAGAGATGAACAATACTAAACACATTTCAAAATATTAGTTTTGTGAGACTCCATAAGCCTAGCCATGAGGCAGTAGTCAGATGTGAGGGATTAAAATATCCATCCTAGCTGATCCCCAATTTTCACAAAAAGAAACCAGCATTGTCTGCTTCAACTTATAGACATAAAATGAGTCTCCTGATCCAACCAAAAATCATTTCATGTCTATAGGTATCTTTTACATCTATGTATTTGAGACATCCTAAAAAGAAATCAGTATGCCATAAGGCTTTTTACATGTTCTGTTAAAGTATAAGTGCACTTATTTGAGAATTTGAGAATCTTCACTTAAAAATTGTGTGAACATTCACTTCAATTATCCAGTCATGTGAAATGCATCTGCACATGATTGGGTATTCAAAGTGAACATGAATTTGCTTTTCACCTGATTGGATAACTGAAGTAAATATCCACATACTTATTTGTGTGTAGATTCTCAACTCTTTAGTAAAAAAAGCCTCAATATCACAAAAAGTAATTGTAGCTTGTACCTCTATTTTCAATTTTACTTTCAATTGTCGATGATGGCACAGTGTATGTGATCTCCGGAACTCCTTCCCATCCAAATGTGGCACATGCATCAATCAAAAGATGACTGGCTAATACAAATAATGACAGACTGCCAGCACTGATTGCTGTTAGTCTTTATGGTTAGATTGTTCTTTGATTACTAAAGCAAATTTCTAGTGGCATTAAATGCTGTTATGTTCTACTGTAAAGCAATAGCAGGTACCTCTAGGTGCCTGTAAAAAATAGTGTCAGTATGCTTCCTGAGAGCCTTGGGAACCTTTCCTTTTGAAGATAGTGCATACCACCCCATACTTCCGGCTTCACCACCAGATTAACTGGTAATAGAGACCCATGGCATTGTTGGACTAAGGTATGGGGGGATTGTGGTGGCTCCAAGCACCAGAATTCAACTAGAAAGTCAATATTTGTTTAGTAGAGCACTCTGTATTTAAGTGTTCCTGGATAGCTCAAAAGAACAAAGACATCATGTGATAGCCTGTTTTTGTTTCTCAGTGCCAGATTAAAACACAAGTACACTTTAATTTTAAAGAGCACTTATCCTTAAAGCAGAATTAAACCAATGCCAAGCAAGTAAGATGCTTTTTTTGCAGAGACATACCTGGGTTGATTTGCAGGGAAATGTTTCCTTAGCTTAGTAATTGTGCTCGCACATGATTGGATGATGGAAGTCAGCAACGCTTCACCTCATTCACTAAGCTAAGATAAATTTCCCATGCAAAGTGCACGGACTATTTGCCTTAAATAAACCAACCCCAAGGGAATTTGCAAAGGAATTTTTACTTGGCAGGGGATTTTTTCCCTTAGTTTAGTAAATGTGGTGAGACTTCACTTTGCAAAGAATACCCAATCATGTGCAAGGAAATTTTAAAAAAACTGTATTTTTGCTTGCACATGATTGGATGATGGGAGTTAGCAATGCTTCACCTCATTCACTAAGCCAAGATAAAATTCCCTTGCACAGTGAACAGACTATTTGCCTAAAATAAACCAACCCCACTGAGTCTCTCTGCAATAAAACCTGTCAGCAAGCAACGTTTTTTTTTTTTTTAATTTGAGTTTTGTTTGACTTTAAATAATAACTTTAAATAACTTTCATATGAAGCCCTATAAATGTATATTGGTCACACACCTTTTTTAGCAGATAATTCATCGTCCTTCTTCTTCTTCTCTTCTTCAATTACTTTCAGTTTTGCCTCATATTCATCTTGCAGAGCTTTCCACTCCTTTCTGTTATTAAGCAAGCCATCCAACATTGGTTGAATTTCTTCATGGAAGCGAGAAAACTCCTAAGAGGCAATAAAATGGCCCATGTAAGTACTACATGTATAGTGTTGATCCTTTAGGAATTTAAATTTTACATAGAAACTTTTAGACATCACACTGATGAGAACATTGACACTAATTTTTACAACAGAGGTGTACCTAGAGATGTTTGTAAATTGAGCTTGACTCATTTCTGCAAAAAGAAGAACACAACAGAAGGAACATTTAAGGCAAATACATGATTGGGTATTCTTTGCAAAGTGAAGTCTCACCACATTTACTAAACTAAGGGAAAAAATCCCCTGCCAAGTAAAAATTCCTTTGCAAATTCCCTTGGGGTTGGTTTATTTAAGGCAAATATTGAGGACCTGAGAAAAGCTATGTCATTGTACAGTACATGACAGCATACTACCGACTTCCATTTCCAGCCATAAACAAACATAGATCCCTGTGAGCATTCTAACATTAAAGCTCCTTTCACACTCTGGAGCTGTCAGTTCTGATTAGCAGGGTGTTTGTGTACAGACATCCATGACATCTGTGTCTGTTCAATTTTTTCTTCCATCTATTTCTATTTCCATTTCTTCCAATGGAAGAAACAGCTGAACTTACTGGGTCCGTGTTAGCCCTACAGGAAGCCAGAAGTAAGTGGACATGTGTCTGTTTACATAAGATTACCCTTGATCCATCACAATCAGATTGGCCAAAACAGAACTATTTTCCGTTTTGCTTTACAGACCTGGCCAGAGCCGGGGGTAATCAGATGTGGATTGACACACGTCCATTTAGATCCGGCTGCCCATAGACTAACATTGGGCATTCAATCAGATCTGCCTGTGAAACTGGCATGCGGGCCTGATCAGATTGACCACCTGAAAGGAGTCTAATGGGTATTGACTGTTTTCTATTTTGACTTGTGGCAGTGTTTTACATTCTGCTGTAATTCTGAAAGTGTTTTTTTACATTTCTGCCCAATTTAAAGTTATATGTAGTTATAGTATTTGTTATGTTCCATGAAAAGTTATTAGTGACATGGAGGTCATCAGGAAGAACCACTGAGTGCAGCAAGTGACACAGTAGATAGACACTCCAGGAACTGTGAGTCTCTGAACAGACTTTATTGTACAATTCCTCATTAATGGAACAGTTTCAGTGGGGTGGATTGTGGAAGTGATAAGTAAAAGAACATTATATGGGGCTAGGGACTGATGCAAATGGTTTACGTACATGAAAAAGCCCTGTGGAATTTCTTAGGGGGTTATGCACGTAGAAGCCGAAGCATCCAGCCGTAGCTTCAGCTGATCCTTCGGCCCTGTTTGGCTGCCTATGGCCTTCGGTTCAGTCGAACCGAAGGGCTGCTGTAGGGGCTATTCACTATAGCCCCTACAGCAGCCGAAGGTGGCTAAACGGCTCAGCCGAAGTGAAACCCGAAGCGGCGCGAACGGCCTGCCGAAGACCAGACTTTCGCCCCGCAAATGATAGCTGGGTTTGGAGCCAGCCGTGATCTCAAAGCTGGCTCTGCCTGCCCAGTTGTAAAGGCAGATAAACATCCCCAAATGACCTGGGGACACTGATCTGTCATTAAACAATAACAACTGGGCGGAGCTGGCTGTGATGTCACGGCCAGCTCCGTGCACTTGTTATTCATTGGCTGGGACCTGGTAGAAGACTCTAGCATGTGCCAGGCAATATGAAACAGTTGGGCAGAGCTAGCTGTCACTGCTAGTTCCGCTCAATTGGTTTTTTTATTGTTTTTTTTCTTTTTGAAAAAATCTTAATTTTTTTTTATTTCACATTTATTTACATTTGTAAAAATATTTTTTCAACTTTTTTTTTTACTCTTTTCATTGATTTTCTATTCTGCTCGGTACCAAGGAGGTACCGAGCAGAATAGCCAAACCGAATGCCGCTCAGCGGAATTTGGCTATAAACTCACTGCCGATCGGCCCCTATGTGAATAGGGGCGAACGGCAGCAAGCGAGCTGCCGCAGCTTCGGGTCAGCCGATCCAAATGTTGGATCGGCTGAGTCCAAGTCCTTCTGCACTTCAGCTCAGCTGAACATGCAGAGCATGTTCGGCTGACCGAAGTGCAGCCGAAGGCGGCCGATGTACGAAAGTAGGTCGGCTCACTTCACTTCGGCTGGGTTATTCACTTGGCTGCCTTCGGCAACTTTGTGAATAACCCCCTTAGAGTTCTATAAATCAATAAAATAAACAAAAACATTTTCATTATATGACATGTTCAATACTATAACAAAACCCAAACACCAGATATGCTGTTTGTACATTTATCTGTTAAACCATTTTGTCATGGCAATAGGCAGTTATAGGTTGGAAATTTTAGAGTGTCATTATAGCTGGTCCCAACCCATCCTAGAGGAAACAAAAGTCAACACACACTATCCTAAATGCCATATATTGTATAGATCCAGTTTCCAATGGCTTTTTGTTTGCTTTGTTAACCATGCAAACAAAAAGCCATTGGAAACTGGATCTATAGAATATATGGCATTTAGGATAGTGTGTGTTGACTTTTGTTTCATCTAGGATGGGTTGGGACCAGATTATTGCAAATTAGTGTAAAAGTTGTCACGATTATTACATCATAACTTACAGTAAATTATGAAATATTTATATTTTCTGATTCCCTTTAGAAAATCCAACTGCTTTGTTTGTTTTCTCAATTAAATTAGGTACCTCGGCTTATATTCGGGACGGCTTATACTCGAGTATATATGGTAATTTAACACATAACAGCAAAAATTGCCCTTATGATATTAAATAGTTTAATGCTATAGAACTGTTTTACCATAATGGTGTTGGATAAAATTATTAACTGTCCTTAAACACAATTTTTCAAGTGCTTTTACTGTATCATTATAGCTGGTCCCAGCCCATCCCAAATCAAACAAAAGGCAATACACAGTATCTTAAATGCCATGTATTCGATAGATCCAGTTTCCATGAGCTATTTTTTTAGTTTGTTTTTTAACCAGATATCAGATTATTGTCAAACTAGTATGCTGATTCCCTTAAGAAAATCTAACTGTTTTGTTTGTTTTCACAATGATGTAATTTAACACATAATGGAAAACAATGCCTTTAGGATATTAAATGGTTTTATCATTATGGGAAAGAAATGTTTTACCATAATGGTGTTGGATAAAATAAATAACTGTTTATAAAAAACATTACATTTAGGTAGAAATGATATAGTTATTATCATCTAAATACTTAAATAACTCCAGGACAAAGTTATACATTTTTAAATTTAGTTAGTATTTTTCTAAATGCTCTGTGGATGTGGAGGAAAAATAAATAGAAATATATTTTGAAAAAACTAAAATGTGCCTTACTACAGCAGTTCTTCTACTATTTTGTACAATGCATGGAAAATGTATACCCTTTGCATCTATATCTCAGTTTTTGTGACTTACTTTATATACAAAGGTGCACACAAAGTCAATGAAACCACACTGGAGCTTTGGCAATTCCGCAGACTTATTTCTGTCCATCATGGGCTGTCACAGAAAAATATTTATTATAAATAAACAAAAAATCATGGAAGATCACTGATGGTAAGTACTATTGCTATGTTCTTTCTTGCACAACTGTACTGTATTATTGCTGGCAGCAAGACTAGCAAGATATGAAGCGAAAGACATTAAAAGCTAAGGAAACAGCGAAAACATGCAAACTTAAATTTTCTTATATATTTCCGATTAAACTCTTTAAAGCAGGATAAGTATTTTACAATATAAACTAATAATGGAAGAAAAACACAAAGTCACATTATTGATCAGATGTCATTGATGCCTAGATGCCCAGGCCAAATTCAGCAATGACAGTTTGTGCTGTTAAACTTAACTCCATGGGGCATATTTATAAAGCAGCAAGCAGGATGGAAATTCACCTCCAGTAAATGATTGGTGAATGTTATATTCACTGCTTTATAAATATGCCCCTGTGACTAATTTGCACACCTATATAATCTTTATACATTTTTTTAAGACATAAAAGGTTTTTGTTTGGTACACTGTTTTTCTTTTTTTATTATAGGTTGACAAAAGCGCAAAAAAAGCAAATAATGTAATATTATTTTAAATGGTACAAGTGCATTTGACAGCTGAACTAATAAATAGATAGCAAATAAACACTTCAGCCTGAAGGTGTGTCATTCTTGAGATCAGTGGAAGGCTATGATTGACAGCCAATATAAAGAGCTAGCAGCTGCGCAAAATGTCTGCTGGAGGCTGTTAGAGGGTTAATGTTTATTAACGTAACCTTGGACAGTGTATCATGTCAGGGAAGGTTATTATATAGATTGTCGACAGGTAGGGGTTAAAGACAATGGGTGGAATTTATCAAAGCACTTGCGACAGTTTTAGCCTCTTAGATAATTTTTGTTTATGTGCAAATCTGTCTTTCAACATGTGCCCCTGTTTTCTTCAGAGCTTGCACTACTTTTCCAACTGCACATGTTATGCACCTGTTTTATTCAGAGCCTGCACTACTTTTTCAACTGCATGTTTTTTGCACCTGTTTTGCACCTGTTTTCTTCAGAGCTTGCACTAATTTTTCAGTTGCATGTTTTTTGCACCTTTTTTTCACGTGTTTTCATCTGCACTTGTTCTGGGCTGTCTGAAACTGGAGCATCACCTAAGAAAACACTCACAACTTAAGAAGTCCCCATGACCTCTTCTTCAAGATGCGACAGTTAAGCTTTTTGCCTGAAGTTAGAAGTCTTCTTTCTTGGAGTCTATTAAACCTCATTTATCAACAACATTACAGTAGCTTGATAAATCTGGTGCAAATATATTCCGTGCAAGTTCAAACACTCGCAACTGTTTGATAAATCCCCCCCCCCCCCCATTTTTTTTTTTCCCTTTTTAATTCGGGTTGTCCATCCGCACATTCATAATACTGCCCATTCACAATTCTCCACAGAATCTCCGGGCAGGTCACCTCGTTTGACACAAAGGCCTCATTTGTCTGTCATAGGCAAGGCTGGGGATTTTTTTCCCCTTTCCTCCCCTCCCCTACGCTTGGAGGCAAGTGAACAATTTTTTTTTTTTAGAGTGGCAAAAAATAATCTTTTTTTTAGAGCATGTATAAATATTTTAAGTCTTCATTAAAACATTCGAATTCCAGTTGGATGGAGCAGAGCGTACTTGCGCGTCCTGTGTGCTGACAGACAGAGCTTTGGCGGTGACAGGATCGTGACGCACTGGCAATTAAGGCCGGGGTTATGAGGCAGGCTTTCAGGTGGGTCGTGCAATTTCAACCACTCGCACCTTTTTGATAAACCCCCCCCCCCCGCCATTTTTTTTTTCACCTTTTTTGCACGTGTTTTCATCTGCACTTGTTAAACCTCATTTATCAACAACATTACGCTAGCTTGATAAATCTGGTGCAAATATTTTACGTGCAAGTTCAAACACTCGCAAGTGCTTTGATAAATTCCCTCCAGTGTATTATGGTTTTTTATACATTTATTGATCACGGTCAGGACTAAAAAATAATTAAAAAGTATTTATTTTTCAAATTGTGATTTAGAATAGTATCATTAAAATGAGTTTAGCAATGAGCATGTATATCTAAGGGGGTTATTCACAAAGCTGCCGAAGGCAACCGAGTGACCTCTATTCACTTCAGCTCTGTACGAGTACATCGGCTAAAATCAGCCGTACATCGGCTGATCTAACCGGCAACATCGTTCGGCTATTCACTTCAGCTCTATATGTCTACATCGACTAAAATCAGCTGTACATTGGCTACCTTTGCTCAGAAGTGCAGAAGCCGTTCGACTCAGCCGATCCAACATTCGGCAGTACACTTGCTTCCGTTCGCCCCTATTCTTATAGGGGCCGAACTGCAGTGAGTGAATAGCCGAATGCAACCTAGCGACAATTGGCTCGGCTATTCTGCTCGCTATCTCCAAGGTAGCGAGCAGAGTAGAAAAAATTTTAACAAATGAATTTTTTTTTTAAAATTATAAAAATAAATGTAAACAAATTAAAAAAATTTAAAGTTAAGAAAATAATTTTAAAAAATTAAGGAAAAAAAACAAAAACAACGTGGGGTTCCCCTCCCAAACTAAACCAGACACTTTAGGTCTAGTAGGAATGTTAGGAGGGACCCCTATTTAAAAAAATGCGTGGGGTACCCTCCAAAAGTTATACCAGGCCCTTTAGGTCTGGTAGGAATTTTAGGAGGGACCACAAGTTAAAAATAAAAAAAAGTGCGTGGGGTTCCCCCCAAAATCATACCAGGCCCTTTACCACTTCCAGCGGGTTCACATAGATGTACGTCCTCCGCTGGAAGTGGTTATACCAAGAACGTGGCTGCTGCTGCAGCCGTGTTCTTGGTACCGTTTTAAATAGCCGTTGATTGCTGTTTAAATACAAGCGTTCCGGCGTCTATACAGGCGCCGCCGTCGGATTTCCTCTGTCCCCAGTGTGAGCCCGGGACCGGCATGGCGGGTTTCCCCTGATGGATCGGAGGAGAGATTAGCGGCTTCTAACCGCTGATCTCTCCTGCAATCACTGGACCCGGAAGTTATGTGCATTACACATGACTTATGTTCACTATGGAGTTTCAGTAAGAGAAAGAGAATCTGAAGGCAGTTTCTTCTGCTCAGTTTATTTAGAAAATTCATAATGCTCTTTGGCACCAGTGTCATGAGTGCATCCTATATTGTTTATTTCTAAGCTAATGATTTTACATACATAGTCTAACAAAAGCTAAAAAGGTTAATATAACAAGTCGATTTTGCAATTTCTTCTAAAAGCACTCTAAAATCATTTTAGCTAGTATAATTTCTTAAAATCAGTCCTTAGCTACACTTCGCACTATTCTAGTACTAGACGAGTGATTGACTCAGAGCAAATTGCACATTTGAGAAATAATACTTAGACTGAGACAATGGGGAACATTGTCATCTTGTTCAGAAAGAACAATGATAATGTGGAAATTGCAATAATCATAAATTTGTTCATACAAGTCAGATATTTCAAGATGGTTCTTGATTAGCTGCTATCATTAAAGTCCTTTGCGTATCATTACTGTTCAGCCTAGTGGCAGAACCTAAGAAGCAGACAACCCTTCGGGAAAAAATCTTTACTTACAATAGGCTGTTGCTGAAGTACTGTCCTTTCCAGGTCACCTTGCTCCCAAAATTCAGCAGCAACAAGAAGAGCAACCTATAAAAATAAGAGAAAAAGTGAGCATTTTATTATGTTTATCCCACTTAATTAACAGGGCAATTTACAGCTTAGGACAGTGATGGTGAACCACAGTGAACCACTGCCCTCAATGCTAGAGGGCAGTGGTTCATTGACCACCAATGTAAGAGGTCACTACTACATTGACCACAACGGTTAAGATATACCACATTTTCTTTTACTGTAATTCATTACTGAAATTATTTTGTTGTACAGAGCAAGGAGTGTTAAAACAGATGTGCCCTGAGTGTTGAATAATCTACATGCACCACATTCTTTAGTATTGTATTTCAACATTTCTACAACTTATCTAAATACTTTACCAACTCCAGACTGCAACAACCTATGGCACCCAATCAGATTTCTGTTAATGGATTTAATTACTGACTGATCACTTCTAACTGCTATCCATTGGTTACTTTAGTTTACACCTTATAATATACCTTTGAACTGTGCATCTATAAGATGACACTGTACTTTTGATGTTTAGGAGGAGAAGCATCTGTTTATGACATCTTCAAATATATTGGTTTGAGACCCTCACAAACAATAGCAGAAACCAATAATATTGCATTTGATGGATAGCATATATAGCATAGATACATAATATGAACTTAGAACAATATAAAGAACCTAATATGAATACTAAATACTATAGATGAATATATGCTTATACCATATACACTCAAACATAAAATATATATAAATTGTGCAAAGAATTAGATGATTATTGACTAACATCTGACCTTGCTCTGCACTTCCCATGGTTTCGTGATGGCAGATAAATCACAAGCTGTCATCATCATGGCCCTGCAGATAATGAATGATGTCAGTGAAATCATGAATGTTAAAGCAGATCTAAATTCCACCTGTATTTTTTTTTTTTTTTTTGATAAAATGCTGTTTCACCCTATTTTCATATATTTTTTCATCTCAATGCTGCTCATCTCTATCAGCCTCATTCAACTACCTCTTGTCTTTATGCACACACTCCAGTGTCAACTGCACATCATTGCTCTGGACTAGCTTCCTAGTAACAGCATTGAAACAAAAAAACACAAACAGCGCTCTCAGATGGAGACCCTAAAAATGGATAACTAACTAACATGCAGCCCTGGTAACAGGAGGAGAACCTATAAATGTAATAACAAAAGAACACAAAAGGGTGCAAAGGCAATGAGGAACTAACTAACTTGGCAGAACAGGCTCTCTCTCTCTCTCTCGATATTCCCTACCCCACTACTACCACTGACTTGACCGCCCGCCGCATGTCGGCATCCCCCTACTGTTGCTACCACGGCTCCTGCACACCGCTCCATTCCGATCTAACAGAGACCGAGTACTGTCATCCATAGCCACAGCAGCTCAGCCAGATGTAACGCCGCCGAGTCTCCTCCACAATGCTTGGATCTCTCACTCATGCAGCGGTGACACGGACGGAGTCCCTGCTCTGCTCCCTCTCTCCTCGTTCACAGTTCTCTCCTCTCTCCCCGTGGACGAACACCTTCGGGCAGCAGACCAGCCAAATTTGGGCATACACCTCGGGCACCCCAATCTTCCACACAGGCCGCCCCTCCTCTGGTCCCCGGACTTACATGTAAGTGTCTAACAGCTTTTTTTGTGCCATGTTCTGCCAAGTTAGTTAGTTCCTCATTGCCTTTGCGCTCTTTTGTGTTCTTTTGTAGTAACAGCATTGGTGGACTATGTCAGCACAGCTGCTGAAAAGGTAACAATACAGGAGCACCCCAGCTGTCACCCCATAACCAGGGACGTGCAGTCAGCTGACAGCTTTTTCTCCATTCCATTCAGAGCGGCTTGTAACAGGTTACACAGCAGGGAAAGCCTCCCCGCTTTGTAACCTGTCATGGACAAAGCGCTGCCTGTTTATTACAGGCAGCTATGGTCAGATGGAAAAAGTGCAGCAGATTCCTCCATCTATGCCAAACTGTTTGGATGGAGGAATCTCCCACTGGGCCAAGCTTCAGCATTTTGCTAGTTGGCCCCGCTGGCTCTCAAAACACCGGAACAATGCCTGCATCCAATTAGATTTTGACAGCCAGCGGGCGCCAACTAGCAAGATACTGAAGCTTGGCCTAGTGGGAGATTCCTCCATCCACACAGTTTAGCGTAGATGGAGGAATTTGCACTTTTTCCATCTGACCATAGAAAATCTATAGAAATTCTATAGGTGTATGACCAGCTTTAGAGTGATCATGTAAGAAAAGGACCGCCTTCTTGTTCTGTATAACAGACAAATGTTCAGTTAAATCACATTAGCAGAAGCAATCAAATAGTTGCCACAAATGTAGAAAAAGAAGGTCATCATACTACTGCCTCTACCAATGCTGTCATACCATACCAGGTTTTGATAATGTCATACCATACCAAGTTTTGATAATCCATTTATAGGCACATATACATGGGCACATTTGCACCAAATATTCTACAAGTATTTCTTCCTGAAATTATTTAACAATGCGCAAAGCTTGAACTATATTTTGCAGTGGCCCATCCAAATTCCAGAAAATATGTCTCTGCCGAAAAAACTGGGACAGTGTTCTGCTAAAAGCTGTTTTTGTCCAGTTTCCTGTGAGTTGGGTGTCCATTCACCTACCCTTCCCCATGTAGTGTGCAGCAGGTTGTACGAGCATCATTACATCACTGTTAGCTAGCTTGGGAGTTGACTGCAGCAAGGTGTTTATATATTTTTTTGCACCCATCCACACCCTGCTTATTTCATTGGTAGGGTTAGAGAAATAACTAAAACACTTCCAACTGCCAGGTAACTTCATTCAGCTAGCTTACATGATTTGTGATTTGTTTATGAGCATGGACCTATACTAAGAGAAAGTAATGTTGTGTGGCCTGCAGTGCCCTCTCCCAGTTAAGCAGAGAGGGCACCTACATAATGATTTCTTTTCTCGTTGTTTCAATCGATAAGTATTCCACCCATTTCTGTTGCTCTTCATATGTCTTTGACTGATCAACAATCTTCTGGAACATTGTTCTCTTCCTGAGAAGACAGATAATAATGAATACTCACATCACACTTAGACAAATGGAAGTTATGTATAATATCAGAAGAAATTTTGGATAAAGGGTAATTGTAGTTTTAGTAGCTAATCAAAGGTTATATATATGTGCAGCTAGTTTTTGATAGAGTATGGAAATGTTAGAACCTTAAAGCCTGTGTCCCTGCTAATCAGCCCCCTGTCTGCCTAGCAACTGATGATGCAGATGGGCGGGCCGGCTGCTCTAGGCATTCATGATAGGCTCTGATCCCTTTGCTTTGGAGAGAGACAGAGCCACAGTGCTCTGCTCCTCCCACACTACTGGATACTACTCAGGGGACAGGGGACGGGTGTTTTATCAAAGTTTGTGACTACGTTGGAATGTGTGACCGGTGACGTGGTCACACATTACAACGTAATCCCGCTCAGTTTGACAGCGATGGAATGTGTGACCGCCTATTGGGTCAAGCATTCCAGCGCTTTGTCGGCTGTTCCAGGGCAGATCGGCACAGTGCGCAAGTGCAGGAGAACCGATCATATCTGCCTAGAACAACTGATCGGTCTGAAACGTCACTTCTATCGGACTTTGTGAATGTTGCAGAGGGGGGTGATTCACAAACAGTAACTGCAGGAGTGTTACAATCAGCGAGCACCGCAGATATGTTTTTTATATATCTGCAGCGCTGGCTGATTGTCACACTCCTTAAGTTACTGGGCCAATCATTTAAAAAAAATATAAAATGAATAAATTGATTTGGGATGTTGGGGTGGAGAGAGAAACTGCATGGCAGTTAGCGGGCTTGGCTTGGTGGGGGGCCCAAGAAAATGTTTGTCCAGGGTCCAATTCATATCAAAGACGGCCCTGCACAGAGACATAAAGTAATCTAAAATCTTAGAGTTGTCACGAGAACAAGAGGTAAGGTGAAGTACTCCAACAGGGACATCTGTTCTGTTGACATCTGTCTAAGAGGACAATTCCTTTCACTTTGCAGTGATTTTCTCTCTCTTCCTGTTGCATCTCTGAACCAGGAAGTGAAGGGAAATCTTTCTAACAGACAGCAAAAATTAAACTAACAGGAATTTTAACCCTTCCCTACTGTATTCAAAAGTAAAAAAAAAGGTTTGGCTATACATATATCACTATGGTATTCACAAAGCTACCGTAGGCAGCCGAGTGAATAACCGACCCGAAGTGAAGTGAGCCGAATGCTGTTCGGCTATTCACTTCAGGCTTGTATAGCTGATTTCAGTCATATATCGGCTGAAATCAGCCGTACATCGGGTGGCTTCGGGTCGGCCGAACATGCTTTGCATGTTCGGCCGACCTGAAGTGCAG